AGGTAAAGGTCTATGATTTTTATTTTTTTATTCTGACGAGGATGTAATGCATAACATCACAAGAATTACCTTAATTTATAGAGGGTAGTTTGTATTCTAAACTGATATTTGAAAAAATACAATATCAATTAATTATGCACATCAATTATGAGTGGCAGGTGGGCACACAATTCAAAGAGAATTGATAAAAAGATTGAATACGTGACCATACTTCTTGAAAGTAATGAACAAATGCAACAATACAACAGAAAGATAAGATTGATATCAATTAAACCAGCTTTTATTTTTGATGTGTGACAACACAACTTTTTTACTACATCAATTTTTTAAATTAATAAAAAAAACAATTTAAAAGTTTAGTATAATTAAAATTATCTTTAGGCATAAATTGCAAAATAACATCAGATTTTTTTTTATGTGTGATAACACAATATTTTCATTCAAATTTTACTTCATTTTTGTACGAGTAAAGATTGTTAGTGTTTGGTCTTCTTCGAAAATAGCTCGTTTTCAATTGTTTTTTTTCCTACATCAATTGAAACTCGTTCTTATTTGAACTAATCGGTTTCGTATTTTTTTTTTCGGGTTGTCAAATAACTCCAATTAATTTTAAACCAAACAACCTCGTTTTACTTACTTCTTGTACGAGCAAAGATTGTTAGTGTTCGTTCTTCTTCGAAAATAACTCTTTTTCAATTTTTTTTTACAACAATTGAAACTCGTTNCTATGTATTAAACAAGAATCAAGAAATCAAAATAAGGGTAAAAAACAATCAGGATCAAAAGTAGCCTTTTTTTTCTAAGTTCTTATAGTGCTTTAACAGCGGCATTGCACAGCAACTCCCGTCTCAATTTCTTCACATCAGAGAACTTGAGAGGCTTTATCATGAACATCTCGGCACCTTCTTCGAGACACCTAGTCGACTCAAACGAAAAGAATAAAAAAACAATCAATTATCGATAACTAAAGCTATCTGGAATAAAATCTGGTTAGAAAAGAGAGTAAATTTTTACATGTCGATTCGTGTTGGAACATTCTCAGACGACATTATGACGACAGGCACATCCTTCATAACAGATGATTCCTGCTTGAAAAGTAGAGAATACAAAGAGTGTCAAAAGGCCAGACAATTTCGAAATTGTTGTATGAAGATATATTATTACATTTATGATTTACCTTAATCTTCTTAAGCAGTTCATATCCAGTCATTCCAGGCATGCAGTAATCTGTAATAATCATATTCACCTTTGTTGCCTGCAGGATCAACATTTGAAATTTGTTAAACAAAAAAAAAAAAAAAAAAACAAAAAACAAAAAACAAAACAAAACTGGAAAAAGGCATTTAGGCAATAGAGATGGGATCATAGGAAGCCCAATCTCACATCGGGAACACACATAAAAAATGTGAGCATGCTTGGATATAAAAATTTTTGATTTTGATTGGATTTTTTGGTTTGGGTTGGTTAAATTTGAAAAAGTTGGTATGGTTAGTTGTTAGAGGGTAAATTAAAATAATATTTAAAATAAAATGATTAAAATTAATTTGATATAAAAGTAAGAGAGAGAAGATGTGATGTGATGGTTAGTTAAAATTATGTGAGTTGATGAATAGTGAATTAAGGTTGATGTTGTGTGTAAGAATGATTGATTGATATTATTTAATTATATTGATAAAATTAATGATAGTGGGGTTGAGTTAAAGTTGAATTAAAAAAAGTGGTTGAGTTAAAAATGATTGGACTTTTTGAAATGATTTTATATCCAAGCATGCTCAGCTATTTAACAGATCTTCCAAATGCCCTTACACAAAGACTAAAACTAGACCCATTGGGCAGCACAAATTGCTGCCGGTTATCCGGTTTTACCGGCTTTGATCCGGTTCAAGCGGTTCATAACTGATTTTTGGTCCAAACGGTTGCATACCTCAAACTGGACCAGTATGATATCCGGTTCCCGGTTGAACCGGTCAGTCCAGTCCGGTTTTAATAACCTTCATAATTATTTTGTATATAAACAGGGCCTTGTGCATTATCTGATTGATTGAGAAATATATAATATGACATAGCATATAAAGATAGTCCGGTTGAACCGGTCATGGTTGGCTCAGATTGTAAGGCTGAAGACTAGCTAGGCCAGTTGGTTTAGATGCAGTAAGGGGTAAGGACTCAGATAAGTAGCTCGGGTAACTGGAGTATGTCTATAGCTCGACAGCTAAGTAGCTCGGATAGCTGGAGTATGCCTATAGCTCGGCAGATAGGGAGCTCGAACAACATAGAGATATTTATAGCTCGGCAGAAAAGGAGCTCGGACATTAATGAGCTCGACATAGGATACTGTGGGCATTTGATAGTTTGGTAAATGACCTGATTAGGAAAAAGGCCGAACTACAGAAGGGGTCATTCCAAAATCAAGAAAAAGGCCGAACTACAAAAGGGGTCAATTCCAAGTCATCCACAAGGGACACGTGTAGGGCTATAAATAAAATAGATAGGTAATCGGAGGACGCGAATAACCAACTGGCAGACCTACGGGTAGCCTAATAACCGATGGGCAGCCCTTTCGGGAAGAAATGGCAGTTGGGCAGGCCTTCGGGCTTGTTCAGAAAGCTAATAATCTTCTATAAATAGGTGAAATTGAGAGAAGATAAATGTTAATCACTCTATACACTCTAAGATTTTACTATAATGTCCATATAATATTCCATATCACCTTACTGACTTGATCGTCAGATGTCTAATGTTGGGAACTTCTCCCAGCGTCATTGCAGCTCTCCGGGGAGCAAAACGGCCGAGGATCTTATAGAGCTGGCTTGAGGTGGAACTGCACATCAATTGGCGTCGTTTTGTAGTATAACTCTGTTTCTCTACTGGTTGTAGAAGAAGCTAAGATGGAGAAGACGACAATGGCGGATGAGAAGTTGAGGAGGAATTTGGATGAAAGCCTGGAGGAGGTTTGGGTAGCCAAAATGCCCTTTGGTGTAGGACCACCTCCGGGATGCCTCAGTGGCGAAGGGTGATGGTTACCCCTCAGATGAACTCGTCTGGGATGAATCAGGCCTTAACGTCGGAGCTAGATCGAAATTTGGCCGGTCGGAGAAAAGATAAGGAGGTTGTTGTGCAGACGTCGGGTCAAGGAGCTCCGGTGGGGGGGTAGTCCGACACACGATTTGGGAGATCATCGCCCACACGACGCTCAAACAGGGTCAAGGAATATAACATAAGACATAAGGTCGAGGGCAGTGACCAGTGACCCACGACGATGCACACACACGAGGTGACCAGACGTGGCGCACGATGCATGGTGCAGCAGCACACGGTGAGGTAGGCACGACCCATGGCGAGACGCAGCAGCGCACGATCCACTGCAGCAGGCGACCCGTAGTGCACGACGACCGCGAGCAGCAGGTGCTACGAAACCGCACAACGAGGCGAGGCGGGCGACGCTCGTACCCGGGCACGACGAGGAAGCGCTGCGACCGGGTGTATGCAATGTGGACTAGCGATGCGCGAGACGTGCAGAGACGGACAGGACGAGCCGAGGCGGATGAAGGAAGGTTAAAGAACAACTCAGAACTGTTCGTCCAGCCCCATATGTCGTGTATGTCTGTACAGAGTCAACTTACAAAACAGGTAAGATCTTGATCCTAAGCTTTAAATCCGCTGCGCTTTAGAATTAATTTCTTAGGATTTGATTAAAGTACAACCGACGTTCTTCACCGAACTCTAACATACATTACTCAAAGAATATGCACAAATTACTTCACACCGCCGACAAACAACTAATAGAGGTCATGGGACATAGCTTAAGTTTAACAAAAATATCTTTCTTCCACTTAAAATTTTAGAAACGAGGTTCTTTCCTAAAATGCGGATCCCAATCCATTGAAATAAATAATAATAGCGATAACACAGAGAAATAAATTCAACTATTAGGGCCAAATAATTAATAGTAATAAAACATGGAAATAAATTCATCAATTATAGGCATTAATTAACATACCATTCAGCACAAAAAAACATATTGGTACAGAAACAAAAATGCAATTTCCCCTTGTTTCAATTCAGGTGAATGGAATGTCGAACACGAACGAGCTCCAACTCGATTTTTTTGCTTTTAAAATAAACGAACGAACACGAACACTGTTCGAACGTAAACAAACACGAGCTCGAACAGCCCAAGCTCGATTCGGTTCAGTTCGTTTACAGCAGCACATGATGAAAGTATCCAACCATTGAGCCTTTACAAGCGAAAAATGTCCGAGGGAGATAATTTGTGACAATATAATATCACCAAATCCCTTTATCTCTTGGACATCAGAAAACTCCATTTAAGGAAAAAAAAAAAAAACTTGTGTTCGCGCACCCACAACATATAAGCCCAGGTGGTTCAACAACGAGCCTCAACTCACTGCTGAGTATGATGATTTACCAGGCTCATAAAAACAACAGTCAGTTTCGGGAACAAAGTAAAATTTAAAAATTTCAGTTACTTGCAAAATGTTTTTTTCATGTCTTATAGAAGTGATCCTAGCAAAAAGATGTAAATAAGTGAGTAAACACAAACTTCAAAAGATTGAGTCTGCAGCTGTAAGAGATTAGCGAACCTGAAATATTCATACAAATAGCAATATTCTGTCTGTAATCAAACAGGCTTCAATTCTTAGTCTAGTATGCATTTCCACAGAACAGTCATATATCAATTACCATAAATTATCCATACCAAGATTTCCAGCATCACTAAGATTGTACAATTCAGCAAAACTATTTCGACTCAGCATGTTTTACCATAAAGCTAAATTATGCTCCTTTTGGAAAACTTCGCTAAGAGAGCACGAAATATATTACTTCGACCCACGACACTAAGTTACTCGTATACCTTCGGTGCACCTCCAAGCGAAACTCTCGGTAAATGAGACATTGGGTCTTTTGCCACAAACGAACCAAAAAAAAAAAAATTAAATAANTTTCATTAACCATAATCTCATCAACATAAAAAAAATAAAAAAAAAATAAAAAAAAAATCATCATACGGTTTACCTTAAACTTAATTCTCCTTCAATTTCGATTTGGGCTCGGCATCTTCCGGAACAAACGACACCCAAAACACGGGCAAAAGCGTACACGCCGCCTGTATCAAAATCCCCAAAGGCAGGCCCGAAAAATCATCCCCATCCACCCCAACAAAAGCTGCCAAAGCAACACCAAAGTACCCACTCACAATCAATGCCAAAGCAAAAGCCGACATCACAAAAGACATAACCGAGCCCTCGCAGCCAGGCGGGCACAGCTTGGCCACCAACACACTGAAAGGCAGAATCTTGAAAAAATACAAAACCTCGAGAAGCCCCGAGAAAACCACAACGTATAAAGCGTCCGGAAGCCCAATCTCCCGATAAACCCCCTTCACGAACAAGAAATCAGACATCATGAGTACAGACATTGCCACCTGTACGGCCAAGATCAGTTTTCGGGACGAGATTGACTTTAGGCGAGAATTGTAGACAGCCCCCCATAACAGCATAGCCATCTGCCCGAAAACTTTTGATAAACCGAGCAGCGAGGACTCGATTTTCAAATTTTGCGTCTGGTAGTAAAACATGGTGCCCGTGAGTGCGGGAATAACTGCGTATGAAAACGAAAACCAAATAATCGAGTAAAGTATCTCGGGTCTGCCGAGAGCAACGAGGAGTTGTTGTATCTGTTTCTTGATTTCGACTTTCGACTCGGTTTTCGGCAGGTTGAGGGAGCTTTCGCGGACGAACAGCGTGACTAGGAACTGAAAACAGAGGAGTATGGCGAAGACGAAAAACATTGTCTGTGGGGTGAATCGATTGATGGCTGCCCCGCAAATGAGGTTGCCCAAAATGCCCCCGGCAGAGGATGCCATCCAGACGAAAGACTGAAGTTCGCCGGAGGAGTTTTTGGAGGGATGGCGTGAAGTCTCGGCTACAATAGCGTCATTAGCGACCTCGGCTATGGAGGCGCCGAGGTTCCCAAGAAGGAGGTAGAATGTGATTGATGAGAAGGAGATGTTGGACGAGGCAGATATGGCTATGGCTATCCATGACACTGCTTGTAAAAATGCTGTATTAAAAAAAAAAAAAATCGTATTTGTTAGTCACGAGGAAAAAAAAAATAGATGAATTACAAAACACCCTATAGCTGATGATTAAGTTTTAACTGAAAGATGTACTTGTAATAATATGGGCCGTGTTATATATACATACTTGGGATGGATAACAGATAGTAATACGTAGCAGAATCAGAATATTAAATATCAACAAGACAACAATAAAGTTATTTGCGAAGGGATACTAAAGTAGTTTGATTCCTAGTTTACCACATAAGAAAGGTATTATATCTTACTACCCAAAAAACTTTAAGGATAATGTCGCAGCTTATGCAAATCTATTTTAATTATGATGGCACAAATGACGAAATGGATATAGCTCCACCATGTGAAACAATTATAATATTGAAATACAGGATTATTCTGCGTTCAAAGAACGGTTTTAAAACAAGATTTCATGTAGTAACGCAAAAACTTTCTTAGGTGACCTATAACACTGTATACGTGAAAGATGATGAGTTAGACATCTTTTAATTGGCGCCATAATCGTATACATTTCCACGAGCATGCATCCAATTAACATCTGCATTTTTATTCCAATCATGAACCAAGAAGTTCATTTTTTCCAATTATCAACACCACTTAGTCCGGCGAATCTAGAAAGGAAAAGGCTCCTCCATATCACACAACTCATAAAAGGCGTCACATATCCTCCGACATTACCAAATACGAATATTATGTTTCAATTCTAACAGCCCATGAGTTTGAAGGTGTTCCAATTCACATTTTGAACCCACATATAATCAAGATGCATGACCTCGTAACTAAAAATATAGACTTCCATAGAGGATCAAACTGCTTTCCTCCTAGTAAGGAACCTAAGAAGTGAACATCCCTAAGCACTTTGGTCTCAAGTAAAATTAACCAGATTTGGAAATTCTGCTGGAAATTCAGGGAGCAACTCAGTAGAATTTCCAATTTGAACCAGATACGATACCCACAAATTCAGGGAACAATGTTTTCTTGTTTCTTCAAATGTTACCTTCAATAAACGCCACAAAACCTATATTGTATTAACACTAACTAGAGTTACTCATATTTAAGTTGATGAATACAGAAACTAAGAACGTCGTAACAGAGAAAAAACGATGTAATGTATCATATATTTGTTGTTAGTCCAAGTCCTTCTTCGCCTCTTACTTCATCATCTCACCACATTTCTCATTCCTCTCACTCAACAACTTCTCACACACATCCATAGCCTCAGCTCCTCTCAACTCTTACTCCATGTTGACTTGGTCTAAGACCAGGATTTTTCAAACCCAAAATCTCTTCTGTCAGTCATTCATCTTGTCAACCATCTTGAATGGATGAGGCTTTATCTGACTCACAATGAAAAGATGTTATAGATCCTAAGTTCCAAGTGTAGCTGAACAACCGCACATTGGACTTTTCCTTACAGTTCTGAGATGGAGCTAGACCACATATGGATCTTCAAGATCAAACACAAATCTGATGGAAGTTTGGATAAGTTTAAAACTCGTTTGGTGGCAAAGGACTTCCAACAAACCCCAAGTGTTGATTATTTTGAAACTTTAACCCAAGTGGTCAAGCCAGTCGCCATCAGGCTTATTGTCATATCTTGCTATTTCAGGGATGTTAAAAATTGATCAAATTGATACTAACAAAACCTTGGAGAATGCCAGAAACTGTTTACATGTCACAACTTCATGGATTTGTGAATAACTCTAAACCATTTCATGTTTGCAAACTCAAAAAGGCCCTATACAGCTAGAGCAAACTCTCAAGTCTTGGTCCAATAATCTGAAGGATTTTCTTTTAACTCAAGCGTTCAAAGTCTTGATGTCCGAGTCTTCCTTGTTTTATCAATCTTCAGCAATCAACTCTTGTTAGTTTTGCTATATGTCAATGATATACTTATTTCATGGGATTATCACTGTCAAATTTTACAATTCATCAACCATCATCATGTTGTTTTCTCTCAAAAACATCTGGGATAGGTACACTATTTTCTGGGTATGGAAACTCGTAAATCTAGATCTTGTATTTTCTTGAACTAGCTGATGTAGAGCGTATGTATGAATGGGATAGAACACGATCAATTCTCAAGAGAAATCTCAAATTCAATGAAATCCAGTCTATCTCTCAAAAGAGAAGACAGATGGTTCTTATACATCAGATAATAACCTAGCTTATTCTCTAAGCTACTAATTATTAAATAATATTAATTGCTATAATAATAAGATGCTCGACGATTAAACCTGACTTCTTGTACAGTCCAGAAAAACGTTTTCAAGATTTAATACAATTAGCCGCTTTACGATTTAGAAAAATAGGCTAGACTAATTAGTGAACTCAACTGCGTTCGTTCACTTAATTAGGCCGTGTTATCCCCGGTAGTTACCATCTTCCGGTTACCTCTTATGAATTAAACACAATCACTTCATATTTCATTCATTCAATAATCAACTGACCATAACAAAGCCTAAGATCCCTTTAAATAAAGCCATCAAATAATACCCTAGCTTATTCTCTAAGCTACTAATTATTAAATAATATTAATTGCTATAATAATAAGAATACTAATACTAATGATAATAAGAATAATAATAATTAACCTACACCACTAGCCCAAGTATGCTCAGGATATTCTTGTAAAAACCAACATGCAGGATTGCAAAAACAAAGATAGCTCATACAGTTACAATAAAATACTTGCACTTAAGGATAGTTCTCCCTTTGAGTTTACAACTTTATAATGTAGCACCATTTATTACATCTTCCATCACCCTAAACCAACCTCCTTTATAACCAAANAAAAAAACGAAGCCAGTTCCTGCATGATCAGATTCACAATCATCGGCAAGCAATAACAAATTCATATATTTAAAGCATAATCTTACTAAGGGCCTCATATTTAAACCTACTTGGAGTATGCAACTTCAAAGTTTTTGTGATACAGATTGGGCTGATGCACTTGATGACAGAAATTCTACCATTGGCTATTATATCTTTCACAGTCCCAATCTCATTACATGGTCATATCCAAGAAACAAGACAATGCAACAGTGAAATGAGCTGCACAAGCGTAAATACATCCGCAGAAAAATGAATCAAGTATTTTTCTCTACACCCAGTTTTGTTTTTCTACATTTCGCATAAAAGATGAGGAAAATGACAATACCTCCGAGGGCTATATAGGGAACACGATGTTGGCCAAAAATGTAGATGGAATCCGAGATTATGCCGTAAAAGGGCTTAGCCACCATGGGCAGATTAGCCGAGTTCTGAAGAATCTGCAGAGTGGAAGACTCCAATCTCAGACCATCTTTTAGGAAGAAATTAATAGCCATCCATGGGAAGCACCTCAAACCCTGCACCCAATACCCAATTCCCAAAAGCAATTTCCGGTTCCTGCCACTCTCACTCTCAGTTGTACTATTCACCATGCTGAAGTTCGAAAAACACTCAGAATCCCACGAAAGCTCTGTTTTTTTTTTCCGTCTTTTTGTACAGGAAACAGAAATGGGCTATTGGAATTCAAGAAAAGATCTTTCTTTCCAGATTCGCCTCGAGTGATTAACGTTGGAAAGAAACCGAAATTTCTGGAGAAATTATTGAGATGACGAGAAATTCTTGAACTTTCGGCTGATCTATACTGTGAAAGGCTCCGTTGCGAGACGAATCACGAATGTGGTGTCCGTGTCTTATTTTTATTTTTTGGTTTTTTCTCTTCAGGAATTATTCAGATTTAAGAGAACTGAACTGTATATTCGGTTGATTATCCTCGGAAGGGAATAAAGTGAAATCCCTATGACGAAATTTTCTATAGGAATACGTGGCGGATTTACGGTAAGTGTCGCTGACGCTTTTTGTCAAAAATAAGAAAGAAAAGCAACACCTAGACATGATAGGCCCGAGGTCAACGGTCTTTAAACCGAGCCTGTGGTTTGATCGGACGTATTTTGTGCCACATATATATATTTTTCGAATCACCCGATCGGTTTCAAACTGGAACCATAACCGACCTTTCAACCTTTTTTTAGTTTTTTATTGAATTTTTTATTATTTTTTTAATTAGTCGGAACTAGTGGTTCATCGAACTGGCTGATGAATTTGTTCGGGCAATTCAAAGACGCCCAACCCTAGCCCAAAATCAGTAGTCTCGATTTAGAAAAGGGCCCAGAATCAATTTTTGCCATGTCTTGCGACACCATGCTAGTCCAATCAAACGCATCTACTCAATGAAATTTCCTTATAAGCCTTGACTTTTTGTTATTATAATATAGTAAGGTTGAATTTTTAACCTTTTCAATTAAAATTTTAATTTTATGTTATTTTTAATTAAAACATACTATTACATTCTAGTTCTCGATTTAAGACTTAACTTTATATTTTAACGTAATTAAGTAAACCAAGATACTATTATTATAAGACTTATATATTAAATTATAAATATCTTTAGTAAATTACATTGCAAGAAAATTAATTCATTTAAGCTACATTTATAGAAAAAATTAACGAAATTTACTTTAAAATTTATTTTAAGAATGCATAATTTAAATATTATATTAATTGATAAAGGCTAATGCCCATCGTCGAGAATTGGAGCTGCAGGTCTTAGTTCAATGGACATCCTCAACACCTGAAGATTCCACCTGGGAGGACTGGGACGAATTTCATAAGACATATCCGACAGCTAACCTTGAGGACAAGGTTGATTGAGAAGAGGGGGATGATGATACATCTCAAACCGTTACTAGCCGGGCCCAGAACCAGCCCATGCCAACCGTTACTAGCCCGATCCCCATCAGCCCACGTCAATAAGTAAACCAACCCGAGGCAGGAAACCCCTCTTGGCACGAAAACTACGTCATGCGCTGAGCACGTGGAAGAATAAGGGAGTGTGTTAGTGGAGCACGTCACCATGATAAATGCTTGTGATTTTAGAGTATTGGGAAGTTATGATTGGAGTTAGTACTCACTCTGAGAGCACCCCGAAATTGTTCGTATCAGATATTCAAAGAAAGATTGTTTAGAAATGCAACCGAACATAACAAAAAGATATGTTCGTAAAGTAGGGCATATTGGAAAAGAGAACATGGTTGGCCATCGTTCCAAATTGGCACATTTCCAAGCAATTGATTCAATCTTGTTTTGCATGTACGATCATATGCTTTTATTTATTATTACTTTTACTTTTAAACATTTTTTGTTATATGAGGTGCAATGCACAATGAAACTGAGGAGCAAGCCTAGTACTTTCCACTTAATAGATTCTAGAGTACCCTTTCCCATATTTTTTTACAGAGAATATCACTCTGTTTGAATATTGGCCAAGATCGAGATGGAGTACATTCATTGGGAAATAGAGAGAAAATACACAGGCAAATAGTTCCATCGTACCATAAGCTCAATCAGCTGCAAATGGTAAAAACGAACAAGGATGACATTATTGAAATGTAGGATGTTGTTGCTGCTTATGTTGTTTTTGGAAACAAACTTGAAGCCTCAGTTGTTATCTTCAGTAATATGGTATTTTGTTTGATATGCTGTTATTTTGGAAATGCTGACATTTGGTTGTATATGTATGTAAAAGCATCTTTAATTGCATCACAGGTTGGCTATGTTCGGTAAAACTAGCTGATAGCTGATAAGCTAACTTATAGCTTATGGCTATGTTTGGTAGACTAATAAGCTAGCTTATAGCTTATTTTGTTAGCTTATAAGCTCCCTGTTTTCAAATAAGCTCCGTGTGGTAGGACGAGCTTTTTTAACAGCTCGAGCTTATTTGATAAGCTTCTTTGGGTAGCTTTTCAAATAAGCTCGTTGAAATTTTTATTTCAGATAGCTTATCAGCTAATTTTACCAAACACTTTTATCATATAAGCTAGCTTTTCAGCTATAAGTCATAAGCTCGAAAATTACTAAGACTATGTTTGGTAAAACTAGCTGATAGCGCTGATAAGCTAGCTTATAGCTTATCAGTAATTTTTTAGCTTATAACTTATAACTTATGACTTATAGCTGAAAAGCTAGCTTATATGATAAAAGTGTTTAGTAAAATTAGCTGATAAGCTAACTGAAATAAAAAATTCAACTAGCTTATTTGAAAAGCTACCTAAAGTAGCTTATGAGATAAGCTCGATCTTTTTAAAAAAGCTCGTCCTACCAAACGAGGCTTATTTAAATACAGGGAGCTTATAAGCTAACCAAATAAGCTATAAGCTAGCTTATTTGGCTTACAAGGTAACTTTTCAAATAAGCTAGTTGAATTTTTTAATTCAGCTAGCTTATCAGCTAATTTTACTAAACACTTTTATCATATAAGTTAACTTTTCAGCTATAAATCATAAGTTATAAGTTATAAGCTATAAGCTATAAGCTAGCTTATCAGCTATCAAACATAGCCTAATAAGCTATAAGCTAGCTTATCAGCTTGTTTTACTAAACATAGCCTATATGTAATTTTTGAGCTTATAGCTGAAAAAGTAACTTATATGATAAGTGTTTGGTAAAATTAGCTGATAAGCTAGCTGAAATAAAAAATTCAACTAGTTTATTTGAAAAATTACCTAAAGTAACTTATGAAATAAGCACGAACTTTTTAAAAAAATTCGTCCTACCAAACAAGACTTATTTACAGAGAGCTTATAAGTTAACTAAATAAGTTATAAGCTAACTTATTTAGCTTACCAAACATAGTCTTACATAACTATAAACTTTTCGCAAATTGTTGTATTAGGCTGCCTAACCTTTAACTAATTTCCATGTCAATTAACAAAAGTACAACTTATACTATGACATCATACTTTTGTTTGTTGTAGTATTATGGAAATGCTTGGTGTAGTATTTTAGAAATCCCTTAAAGTGACATTTCGGTTTGAAAATATTTGTGTTGAAAAAGTATGACCGCTTAGGCGCCAGGTATTCATAAAAGTAGATACCTGTAAACTTTTTTGTTCACTTCCTGTCGATCACTAAAAAGTCCATGCAAGCAGCGATTAAGAAACCAAAATTATATTGCAGCTTTATCAATGAAATACCGATTGCAGAAATTCCAAGATCAAATTGGATCAGATGTAAAAGTAAAATTTCCAGGCAATGGAACATCACACGCTAAGCTCGCAGAAATTGATGTATGAACAGAGGTATCTCAAGAACAAGCCGAAACCAACAATCCTAAACAGTGCAACATTCTTCATGCCGACTGTCGAAAAATAAGGCAAGGAGGAGGCCATTGCATGATATCATCCTCCCATCCAAGACCAAGAAACGCACAATATAGAAAAAAAAAAAGGAAAAAAAAAACGAGCTCTACAAGGGCTTAAATATATGAATACACATGCGAATAACAACCACCACCTTATTTTGTTGCTCACAGCCATTATTGTGTTCAATTGAAGCATGAAGAATTGCTCCATCTACCACGCAAGTAATCTTCTACGGAGATGTTCTGCTCAGTACTGCTTACGGAAGCAGAATCATCTTCCAAGTCAAGCAAAGCAAGATTAAGGAAATACTGGACTTTTGTAGTAGATTCTTCATCGTGAACACCATTAAAGTCATCAGAACCCCCAATTTCCTGCCTAGCCCAGTTGACAGCCTCCCGATCTCTTTGAAGGATTTTGAGAACCTGTTTGGAAGGGTTTCAATGGTTTTATTTAGTTTGAAGTCAATACCGACCATTTTCTAATAAAAACTATTATTTTTTTATGAAATTGGTCTCACAAGGCTGATATCAGGACGGGACTGGGATGCATATCTGATGCACAAGGCTGCAGCTAAGGCCATTATCTCAAATTGTTCATCTTTACAAGGATTGACCAATTTAGGATCTCGAAGTTCTGATATTTCACCATCCTCCAAAATGTGTTTTGCCTGAAATAGTCAAACAGATTAACCAGGGGAACTGAATAACTCAAGAGTACAAGTTTATTGCTGCCAATCTTATCACTTAAGCCAATTGAAAGAAGATGAATAGAAATGACTATGGAGAATCCATTCATCATGTAGATGAAGAGAAACTGAATCAAATTTTTAACCCAAGTGATATGGTTTAAATTTAATGCTAATGATTCAAACTCCAAAAATAAAGTACTTACCCACATTACCAAGCTCTCTTGGCCCTTTGGGGATCCACTGCAAATTGGTTTTCTACCAGATAGTAACTCAAGAAGTACAACACCAAATGCATATACATCAAGTTTCTCGTTCAGCTTCCCATGCATAAGATACTCAGGAGCCAAGTAGCTTAAAANAAAAAAGACCATGATAAGAGGTTTATGCACTTATTAGGTTAAAAATAAAGTGGGACCACATTCTGAAAAAAAAAGGTAAATAATCAATACAAGGAGTATAAAGCTAACCCGAATGTGCCAGCAACATCTGAGGTATCCACATGATGCGAACAACTTGAAACCCTGGTAGCAAGACCGAAATCCGACAACTGTAGAAGCAAAACGGGCACTAAGACAACTAATGGGATGAGAACAATGGCAAACCATTGAATTGCTTATACCTGTGGCTCATAATCATCTGAGAGAAGGATGTTTGAAGATTTTACATCTCTATGTATAACTGGCTCGGGTAAACTATGTAAATAGTCCAGTGCCTCGGCAACTCCCAAAGCAACCTTATATCTCTCTTCTAGACCAAATTGATTTGACTTCTTTGCACCTATTTCAGAGGATGGTGATCGTGAAAAGTACTATTAAGACCAGTACACTCATACTAGAGGATCCACAGGATAAGAGCAAGAAAATTAACATAATGCACTGTACCATTGAGACTGTCTTCCAGGCTTCCTCTGGATAAAAGGTCATAAACTAAAAGTAATTTGTTTTCCTCAAAACAGAATCCAACTAGAGATAATATGTTTTTGTGCTGCAAAGACGTAATGATTTCAATTTCTGAAACGAAATGTTCCAGTACATCTTCAGATGGTTTGAGAATTTTCACTGCTAACTTCTTGCCTCCAAGTAGACAGCCTCGATAGACCTGGCTGCTTCCCCCTTTCCCAATCAGATTTTCTGGAAAACATAGTTAAGAATTATGAGTAAGACACTTTCTAAATCAAGTAATATATACAGAAACACTTTGAAGTCAATATAACCTGGTTTGAAATTATCTGTTGCTAACGAGAGCTCCTGGTAGCTAAACCGTTTGCATGTTGTTGAGTACTTCTCTGCGAGCGCTTTGAGTTCTTCCGCGAAAATCTTATTTACACAAGGCATCGAATCTCTCTGAGCTGAATACGGTACAATAGCTCCCTTTTCTGAGTCCAAACTCAACAGTGCTTTATCTTCATTAGGTGCAGTAATCTGCTTCTGATCGGGATAAATGGCTGCAAAAGATTGTTGACCCGGTAATTTCAATTTCCAGGTCATCAAAAAAGATTTCTTAGTACATGAAGTTTCAGGTGTTCCTCGGCTGGGTGAGAGTACCCTCCTAAGTGATGCCCATCTTGATTTAGATTCTGGCAATAACTGTTTCTTAAAGGGTACAAGAGCCACATAATTGTTCTCATCTTTGTTACTAGGTAATGATAAAACTCTGAGGGGCGGTAGGCTCAAAGGGCTTCTGCCAAACGTCTTCCTCCATTTCAACAAAGAATCCGACTCACCATGACTTCGAGAATAAGGCTCATAGGAAGCGTTTGTTTCTCTTCTGAATACAATCTTACCATTATCGACACATAAAACTGAGATATTCTTGTCGAGATTGCTGGCACAGTACTTGGCAACTGCGATCCTCGATCTAATTTTGTGATGGGCATTCGAGGTACCAAGAATTAAGCTCTGGGCACCACACGATTTTGCCTCGCGGACTAGGATTTGACGAGCAGAGGTCCCTTTACAAACCTTTAGCTTTAAATCTACCTGCAGAAATTTGGCAGTCCTTTAGCATGTCCCTTTACAAAGTCCAGT